CAGATATTAGAAAATTTATTAAATACTTATACATGCCGTCTGGGAATCGAACCACGTACCTTCCGATTACCAGCCGCTTGCCTTGTCATCTGAGCTATCCTAGAATTCATCATATGGGTAACTCAATAATCAACAAAAGCTTGCTTGAAAGTAAATACCTATCAGCACACCCGATCGCAACTCTAGCTCCTTCAAGGCCCTGTGGGAATGATTAATTCATTCATCGTTGTTTTAAATGAGACCAATGTTGCCTCTTCACCTCTCCAAGTCGAAAGAAAGGATGTTCGGTTATATTTTGAACTAGATCAATGCATTCATTATCGTGAGTCATGTGATCGATGAATACTATTTAAATTAATTATGTTCTACACAAATAAAAAAAAGGGTTGAGCCTGGGATTGAACTCACGACCTTCTAATTAGAAAGCGGAAACGGTAACCACTACTCTACTGATTTCGCCTTGTTGTGAGACTGAATCAGTATTGTCGAATAATGAATCTAATACGTCGTTTTTAAAGCATTTACAAATCATGTGATTACAACATGGAAGCATAGTGGTATAAGAGCTATTATGCTGACTGTATTCACCTTTATTCAGCAATATTGTAAAGTAATGCAATGAAATCTAATAAAGGAGCTGGAGAACATTTATTAGACGTCTAATAAAGCATGTTATTAAATCAATTGAAAACAGTCGAATTAAAGTGTCAATGTATGTACAAATTACACTTATTCAGTTTGTTATTAGATCGAACTTCTGGCGTTGAACTGGGAAGACATTTAACACTTTTACAGCTTTTAATAAGTAAATTAATCAGATCAGAGCAAACAGTCGAACAATGAGCTTTTTCAGCACATAATTCCACAACTCTTTTTATTCAGCATTGTACACTGTTATACAGCATTTATTCAATAAATATGCTTATTTGTGACTTTGAATTGTTTGTTGGGTGGTATAAGAGCTATTTTGATGAGTGTATTCACCCTTATACAGCAATATTGTAAAGGAATGCAATGAAATCTAATAATGGAGCTGGAAAACATTTATAAGACGTTTAATAAAGCATTTTATTCAATTATTTGAAAACAGTCGAATAAAAGCGACAATGTATGTGCAAATTACACTTATTCAGTTTGTTATTAGATCAAACTTCTGGTTCTGAATAAGGAAGACATTCAACGTTTATAAAGCTTTTAATATGGACATTATTCATATCAGAGCAAACGGCGGAATAAAAGCGCATCTATCGATCCCAATGAGCTTTTTTCAGCACATAATTCGACATCCTGTTTTATTCAGCATTGTACACTGTTATACAGCATTTATTCAATGTGTATGCTTATTTGTGACTTTGAATTGTTTGTTGGGAACATTCGAAAGACTTTGGGATTTTACCATAGGAGTAAAGAGTTAAAAAGCCACCGTTAACGTCAATACTTACACGTTATTTCAAAACTACTTAAATTTGGGTAGAATCCTCCCAGATCGATCACAACTGAACCTACTCAAAAATGGGTAAACTATGTTGGGAGTGACAAGCTGACACATGAGCAACATTGGCATGGATCCGACAGACGTTGTTCAATTGTTAACCTGTCACTCCCAACATAGTTGACTCATTTTTTGATCGATTCAGTTTTGACAATTTCAGTTTTACTCAAATTTGGGTAGTTTTCAAACAGCGTGCACTGAGCATGCAACCAAATATGTGATTTTCTTCAGTAAGGGCCAATTTCACAAACGTAAACACTGACTTTTCACGAATTTCCTGAGAATGAAAACTCGCTCAAGTAAGCCACCACGATGCTTGTGTGTAGGGAAAGTCCCCATATGTCTAGGCGGGAAATAGAAAGGTGACACAGTCGGAAGAAGCGTTAGTTTGTTTACTAAAATGAACTATGCCCATTTTGTTATGGCAAGTTTTGCCATAAGAAATACTCCTCGTGTTTATTAGCGAAATTCACATCAAAGGTTGATTAATTGCATAGGAAATCAGTTTGGCACGGCATTTGTGACCAGCCTACACCTTCCGGTTGTATGAAGCAGGTTTAAAAATGTGTCCAAATCCGCCCATACATTTTATTTGTTTTAGAATTTCTGTATGGCAAAATAGTGAACTTTTCGTGAACATTAACGGCAAAGAACTCACTAACATTGGGAGACCGTGAGCTCCTACCCACCTGTGATATTACCCGCCTAGCCCATAGCTAATAGAATTGCTGGGTTACATGGATTGACTTTGAATTACAAGATATTTACGAAAGAAACCATTGCTTAAGTTTCCGACATTGGCCCATATGAAGACTTATTGTCAAATCACGAAAATTTAATTTTGACAGATCGATGTCCAACTATACCAGTTATACCACTGACGAAACACAAAAAATGGGTCAACTTTTAGTCAGCAGTTTTGCATGAAGTTTCACATATGTTATGTGTCTTACTACTCATCGAATTTCTTCTGCATTTTGAGTACCCAAACCCAAAGTTCAATCGCCCAATCAATTTCCCACAAAGTCCGTTTGATTGTCCAGCTTCTCTTTATTTAGCAATCTGCAATTAGCAGAAAAATTTGACAAATTTCGTAGAAGTTATGGAAAACTCAGATGAGCTCAACGAACTTCAAATAGCTTCAGTGGAGTTCTCTAAATTACACTAAACACCTCAAAATTTAGTTGAAGATGCTAATTTCAAATAACAGACTGTAGTGGTAATTTTTATACGATAGATGGAGAAGATGAAAGCATAGAGTTGATAGTTCCGTTAGAGTACGGCAGTGTGAAGATTGCATATAGATATTAGAATAGCGAGCTAGGACAACTTTTAAGGAAGGTACAAATCGGTTTTTTCATCTCTCTTTACCAAACTCCCCCTTTGGAGAGGGATGGTGAGGGGTGTCCCCCCCCCGCCACCACTGGCAAAAAGAGATGAAAACCGACCCGCTCAAGTACCAACTGTGTGTTTGAAACAGTTCTACCGATTTTTTACCGCACTTTAGTTGTTATTTGAAGGAAGACATCCAGTCGTAGGTTTGGGAAATTGCAACTATTGTTTACCCCTACCACGATATGTGCTCCTGTCATCGTCGACTTGACGATCTCGAGGGGACACGGGTACTTGAGCGGGTCGGTTTTCATCTCTTTTTGCCAGTGGTGGCGGGGGGGGGGGGGACACCCCTCACCATCCCTCTCCAAATAGGGAGTTTGGTAAAGAGAGATGAAAAAAGTTGGAAGGGTTGTATACTAGATACGACCGCAGGGTTGGCGTTGGATAACGTCTGTTATGTGTTGTACTTAATTTTGTATATTATATTTTAGGAATATTCCTTAATAACTCTTTTGCGAAAGTTTGGTCGCCCTGAAAAGGGCCGTTTTGTTGGGCTGATGTTGTTGGGTTTGCTCTACTCTGTCGCCCTGGAGGAGCTTTGGAATGATGTTGGTAGTTCGAAGACAGACAGCATCTCCCCTTCCAGCGTTCCCACACCCCAGTGTAGTCCCCAAATTTAAGTGTAACTGTGATATTCTGGAAAGAAATTGTCTTCAAAACTAACTCTTTGTCGAATTGTTGGTGGCCCTGAAAAGGGCCGTTTTGGTTGTGGTTTTGGAATGATAGACTGAATAAATGATTATGTTTGAAACATTTCAGTTTTTGCTCCGATCAACAACCATACGGGGCAATATGAGCAGAGCACCCTAGTAAAAGTTAAAGTTTTGACAGGTTTTCACTAGAAAATAACATGCAGGAATCAAGTGAAATAGAAACATAAGTTCTTTTAGCAACAGTTACGTGTATTGCTCGCTGTAGAACCAGCGGATCAGTAAAATGTAATATAGTGAATGCGATGCTTGTTTTCTTGACTGCATATCTTATAATATTCTAGAGATTTTGAGCTAATGTTACATTTCCATTATTATCTTAGACATGTAATTGAATTTTGATACGGTTTTCATGGAGATGCATATTAGAAGCATTTTCAACAAGTTTGTAAAAAAATAGATTGAGTTAATAGGTATTATGCCCAAACGAACGGTGGCCCATCTCGCCCCGTATGGTCTTCTTGCCCCCATCGCCTCTATTGGACTGAATTCGGAAACGCTCATGTCCAACCGGTTTTCATTTTGGGCTGGGAATTCTCTAAAGCAACATATTTAAAAAATCTGGGAAACTCCGGAACATAATTAAAAATTCTTGAAATAAACGTAATAACATATAAGTGAATTATATCTGGGTAAGTATCTGGCAAGACGATTGAAAATCTGGAAAATCAAATAAATCAGGAATACTGGCAACGCTGTCTCGTTTCATGCCCGTAGAGACAACCGACACTCATCCCATTTTTAGTATTTTGCTACCCACAGTATTTATTGTAGGGTTTTTGATCTAATTTCCGTCCTACTAAGCACAACCCGCGGTTTACCTCTCTTTTCTGAACGAATTTAAACAAAAAATGGAATATTTCTGTCAAAGATGACTTGCAAATTTATTCACCTTTCCATCGTTGGATTTGATAAAGAGTCACAAATTGACGAGATATTGTCTAAAATCTAACACTGCTTCTTGATTCTAAATTCGTTCTACGAGTTTCAATTCCGTCCTAACGCATTGAAACGCCATTAGATTTTCTTCGTCCTACGGATAAACGTAGAAAAAGAGGATTCGCTAGGAGCGCTTCTTTTGTTTTGAGAACAATGAGCGTAAATATTTATACAATGCGCTCTAACAGGGTTTATGTTGTAGCTAATGAACTAACGCATTGGAACAAACCTATTATTGATTTGTGCACGGTGAAATCATTGATATTATTGATCTTTTCTGATCGATAGAACGGAAATGGGCGATTACGACGAAGTAGCGCTCTACCCTACCGTCCCTGTATTCATAATATGCTACTCGACGCAGGTATAAGAGCACCCTTGACGGTCGAAATGTCATCATTACAGTTTCAGCGTTCATCTGCTCGTGTCATTCGTATATCAGATCACCTTATTTACATTTAAATATGTCTGGACGTGGAAAGGGAGGTAAAGTCAAGGGAAAGGAAAAGTCCCGTTCGAGCCGCGCTGGATTGCAGTTTCCAGTCGGTCGTAGTCACCGTCTACTCCGAAAGGGCAACTATGCCGAGCGTGTTGGGAGCCGGTGCTCCCGTCTACCTGGCTGCAGTGATGGAGTATCTGGCCGCTGAAGTTCTCGAGTTGGCAGGAAATGCCGCCCGTGACAACAAGAAAACCCGAATTATCCCACGTTGCAGTTGGCCATCCGCAACGACGAAGAGCTGAACAAACTTCTTTCCGGAGTGACCATCGCTCAGGGTGGTGTCCTGCCAAACATCCAGGCCGTCCTGTTGCCCAAGAAGACCGAAAAGAAGGCCTAAATTCGATCGAAGTTCCCACCCTTTAACAAAATCCGTCCTTTTCAGACCAATTTGATGGTAAAGAGTTTCGTTTTCAAAACAGTTTCCTTCGTGGTGCGCAAGGAGTGATAAAATGAATCCATTAAAAACATGGTTGAATCTTTCTGTCATGCTCTCCCTAGTTAATTGATATCCTCATCGAGTAGGTTCGATGATGGTTGATTAGTGTAGATAATTTAACCAGTGCAGTGTTATCATTCCATCTATATCTAAAATTAAACTATCGACTAAATTTTCAAAAAATATCCATCAGTACCGTCCCAACGACGCGTTCATATAGGTAAGATTGGTAAATAGCAGATTTTTAGCGATGGGCCCAATCTTAGATCCATTTCCCCTACCTTGTAGAGCTGCGGTGGCCCTACATTGATGCAGCGGAATGAAATTCAATATTTTGATTGCCGAAGCATACACTCAAAAAATTTACTACATAGATATCTAATGGATGAAAACCATGTGAACTTCACATAGCTAAAAATCCCACCACAAAATCACATGAATATCATGAGGCCGATGAAAGTCATATGAAAAAAAGTATCGGAAAGGCATTAGAAAATTAATCGTTAAACTCTTTCTTGATAATGTTGTGGCCCTGAAAAGGGCCATTTTTCCAACGCGCTCGGCGTAGTTGCCCTTGCGGAGCATACGGTGAATACGACCGACTGAGAACTGCAGCAGCTGGGCATTCCATGACGGCGGCCCAGTATACCGGAGCACTGGCACCAACGCACTCGGCGTAGTTGCCCTTTCGCCCCCAGGCTCTGCTGCCGCTGCTCTGCTGCCGTTGCTCTGCTTCCGCTGCTCTGGTACTGCTGCTCTGCTGCTCTGCTGCTGGGTCGACGATCGGATAGACAATGATGGAACGGGCGACCTTGTTGGACGATTATATAGTAGAACAGAAAATATCAGAGGTGTCAGATACTCGCATCTGATGTCTCGGTTGGAGAAAGTATAAGAATATAAAAAAAAAATCAATCGATCTTCACCATTTTTAGACAATGGTTTACTTTTAACCATTTTTCAATAGTTTACAGAATGAAATCAATAGTTTTGAAACATTCAGCAAATTGCTAGAAATATTTCCAATCGATTGATGCCATTATCTCGTAAATCTATCGAGAGACGGTTGAGTTATTATCGTTCAAAATCTTTTAATTTTTCGTAACGCATCCAAAATGACTGTTTTCATTTTTGTACCCCCGTATGTTGCCGAAAGACGTTATCCAACGTCAAAACCGATTTGTACCTTCCTTAAAAGTTGTCCTTAGCTCGCTTTTCTAATATCTATATACAATCTTCACACTGCCGTACTCTAACGGAACTATCAACTCTAAGCTTTCATCTACTCCATCTATCGTATAAAAATTACCACTACAGTCTGTTATTTGAAATTAGCATCTTCAACTATGTAAATCGTTGACTTCACGTAGAAGTAATACTAAAAACATATAGTCAAAGTACCTCAAAATTGTTCTGCAGACATCAAGGAAAAGTTCAGATAACTTCAGAGAAGTTCTGCGAACCTCAGCTAAGCTAAGCTATGCGTTCTGATGAAGTCTGCTCTACTTCAGAGTGGTTTTACAAACTTCGAGTACTCTTACCAATGTCCTGTACACTTCAGAGATACTCTTCATACTGCAGAGATTTTAATTTCATAATTGCATGGTGTGAGGTGTGAGATAACTCGCTGTCCTGGTGAAGTAAAATGTCACCTCACCCTTAGACATGATCTTTGAATTATGAATCATGAAGTTCGCAAAATTTGAACAAGTTCTCAGAAATGTTTGATGTTCGAATAATTTCTATGAAGTTCACAAAACAACTCTGAAGTGCGCTGAACTTCTTTTGAGTTAACAATACTTCCTTGAAGATCGCAGAACTACTCCAAAAGAGCTGCAACTTATAAACGATCTGATAAATTCAAGGGAAGTTCTCTGATTTTATAAGTTCTCTGAACTTCAAGCTTAGTTCTCTGAAGTTCAGGCGAAATTATCGGAATTTCAGGTGAAAATTTCTGTACTTAAAGTAAAGTTCATAGAACAATAAACGAAAAGTTCACAGAATGCATAATATCCGAACAAATGTTCACAGAACTTCCAACGAAAAGTTTTCAGAACTTCCTTGAAGTTTAGAGCACTTAAAAAATCCCTCAGGGTCACAGAACTTTCCTGAAGTTCACCGAACTGCATCAAAGTTGCCTGAAGTTTGAAGAGAAAATCAGAGAAATTCCGACAAGAAGTTAAGAGAATTTCCGACGAGAGGTTCAGTTGTCCAGAAAATGTTCATAGTACTATGGTAGATAGAGTTGGTTTGGAATAATAATGATAAAAAAAAAAATGAGTCATGTAATGAAACGCTTAATTTGAGTAAACCCAAATTAGCGTGGATGTGATTAAGATCTAACTATCATTGCTTTGTGAGGGGAAATCCCGAGTCAGCTAGTAGCGATGTGTAAAAGAGGCAACATTCTTTGGGTATAAATATTGGCTACATAAGCTCGCAGAAGGCTCTTGTGACGAACTTTGAAGGCGACGAACCAGTAGCAGTAGCAGAAGCAGCAAGAACAATAGTAAAAGTAACAGAAAGGAGTAGTAGATTCGTGTAGCCGTGACCGAACCTGGAAACCTTGGTTCGGTCACGACAATAGCGCAGACGGTAGATTATCTAGTATGAAAGTAAGTATAGCGATTAGTAAAAAAATCCCCGGCGGAAGGGCGGTGAATTATAAAATGTTTCCGGTAGGCTCTCTGAAGGCATGGGTAGTTGAGTAGGCCGGTAGACTAAAAAAACCATGAAAAATACGAACATGTCCTCGGACATCAGGCTGGAAACCTCGGTCCGGTCACGATAAGTACGTTTGAGGAGAAGTTCACAGAACTTCCAATAAGAAGTCCAGAGGGCTTCCGAGAAGAAGTCCAGAGAACTGTCAATGAGAGGTTCAGAGAACTTTCGTGAATAGGATCCCCAAACCAAGAAACGTGCTCAAATTTTCGGCTCAGCTCTGGTACTATCTTCGGTCCCAAGCTAATCGATGCACCTCTCGAAACATTGGAAAATCAACGAACCCCCTTCATTTTATCTGTCAAACTTTCATAGCGAATCAAAACAAACATAGTGTAGTACTAGAATTTCGACTAGCATGGGATTCGTTAATAGATTTTCTTGGTACCAATAGGATAGTCAAGTAGTGAGTCAATTTAAAATCGTTAGTTTCCACCGGGATTGCATTGTATTGCTTGCGTTACTTAACCTTACCAATTAGGCTAAGGCTGGTTGCCATAGTCTTCAAAACATCCCATTCGCAAGCATGACGTGCTTAATAATGGATCGCTCCTTAGAATGAGATGCTTTAAGAAAGGTTTTACAAATTGAAAAGATATTTTTTCTCCTCAAACCCGGAGGTGAACCAGCTTCAGGCTGAAAGCCTCCCTAATATAGAAAACGTAATTTAACTTAACTTCTCCTCAAACCGACCATTTTTAATAAAACTTCCCGCATGCAATTAGTTATCCACCCGCGATATCATCCAACGAAGAGCCACACAGAATAGATAGCTCAGAGCTTTTTCTTTTCTCGCTGAGCTGCGTATTTCACGCTATTCTTTCTCCAGCCCAAGCCGCACAAGATACCGGAATGTCTACTTCAGTTTGACACCTTTCTTGGCCTGACCCGGTGGTGGCTGCGTCGGGTGGCGGATGCCATTATGCCGGCCATAACGAGAATTTTATCAGAACCGGTGGTGCAGAACTCGACGGCTGCAAAACATAATTTATCGCTTTAGAAACGTCCTCACATAAATAGCCTCTTGGAAGCCCCAGCCCAGCACTCCACTTCAGTCACCGTTGTTGGAGACCTTAATCTCGTTTAAATTTGTTAGTTTATGAGGTAAAAGCGGATAGTTTATTATTATCCTCCTTTCAGAAGGATCTACCTTTGCTACGGTAGCTGCACGTTAGGGTGGTTCAAAATATCTAAATTGATTTCAAATCAGGTCCTGATCATGACCCAACATTTGAGGTCATTTGGTTGCGAACTCATACTGCACTGGTGCTTTGAAGTTTATATGGGAATTACTATGGGAAATGTAAAGTTTTTGATCTTCTCATCCTAGCCTTCACCACAATGATTCAAGGGTAAGCTGGTCATATATACTTTATGAACTATTTACACTTATGCTAGTTCACTAGCTCAGCCAGCTCAACAAACTAGCACGAATTTCTCTGAAATCTCATGCTGATAGATGCTGACGCCCTGTTTACATTATGCTGGTTAATTTTAAGTATAGTGCTAGTACACCAGCGCTAGCAATAAAAAAAAAACACAGATGTAAACACAATTTTTCAGCTACAACTTTGCGGAAGACCACTTTTGCAAAGGTTTTAAAAGTCAATATAGTTAGTTATTGATTGATTTCGATGTCGATAACTTTCTGATTCTGATTTGACTGCTTTGAGGGCAACACTGTCTCTTGCACTGTGCGATAGTTACCTGGATTTTTTGCCCTCTTCTAACACCAATGTTGCCTGCTAAAGGTACGTTTAAACGCTGTTTAAACGCTCCAGACTGAGCAGTTATAACAACAATCAATACGAAACTAACGATTTTAAATTGGCTCACCACTTTAGTAGCCTATTGGTCCCAAGCAAACGATTAACGTACCCCATTCTAGTTGAAATTCTAGTACTACGCAATGTTTGTTTTGATTCGCTATGAAAGTTTGACAGATAAAATGAGGGGTTATTGGTTTTTCCTATGTTTCGAGGGGTGATTCGACAAGCTTGGGACCGAAGATAGTACCAGAGGTGAGCCAAAAAGTTGAGCACGTTTCTTCGGGACCTACTTGTCTTAGAGTTACCTCTATGGTTATAACATGTTATAACGGTTGTCAAATAATTGCAACAACATAATTGTAGTCTGAACGTACTATTATAGTACGTTCAGACGACAGAGTTATTACCTGTTATAGCGCTATCTTGA